ATGTATTTTTTAAAAATGTTCTATCATTTTGTTTTTCAAATAAAAAGATAAATTTTAGCATGTGCTAATCTTCCTCTTGATCCCCAAATCTCCTATTTCTCTTCTAAAAGTTTATTTTTCCATTATAAAATTACTACAGCTTTAAAGAGAAGTATAGAAGAATTCAAAATCTTATCCCTTCCAAAACAACTTGTAATAAGGTATGATTCTATTTCCTTCCAGTATCTTTAAAATAAGTTTAAAATTTTTTTAAAAGTGTAGCTAATGCACATTCATTTTGGAAATATTAATAGATAAAAACCAAAAACTAACCAGCATTTGTAATTCTTCACCCAGATGTTCTGGGTTTATTCTATAAATAACACACATAAAAATTTGTATATATAGGCCAGGTGTGGTGGCTCATGCCTGTAATCCCAGCACTTTGGGAGGCCAAGATGGGCGGATCACGAGATCAGGAGTTCGAGACCATCCTGGCTAACATGGTGAAACCCCGTCTGCACTAATAATATGAAAATTAGCCAGGCATGGTGGTGGGTGCCTGTAGTCTCAGCTACTCAGGAGACTGAGGCAGCAGAATCACTTGAACCAGGGAGGTGGAGGTTAGAGTGGGCCAAGATCATGCCACTACATTCCAGCCTGGGTAACAGAGCGAGACTCTGTCTCGGAAAAAAAAAAAAAAAAAAAAAAAAAACACAAGCATATATGCACATATACTCACACTTTATAAAAGTGGGTTTCTACTGTATATGCAAGTACCTGCATGGGTTATTAAATGTATTCTTTAAGTGCCATTTAAATTCCTGAAGAGCATTCTGCTATAAAAGTGTATGTGTGACATTCCCTAGTCAATCATTCGCTATTTTTAATCACTTAGACTTTTTTCACTGTCATAAACCATGTGATGAAGATCCTTAGCTAAATCTTCCTTCACCTCACCGTTATTCCTTAGAGCTAAATCCTAGGAGTAGTAGAACTCTTGGTTCAAAGGGTATGAACACTTATCAGGCTTTTGATACATTTTATCAGACTCCCTTCCATCAGGTCTTCCTCTTGAGGCAGGAAAATAGTGTCTGGAGGCAGGGAACATAAAGCCTGTTCACACTTCAGCTATGACAGGAAATACCATCTCCAAGAGGCATAGCCAAGTAAACGACTTTGTAGCTTTACTTCATCCTCTTCATTTCCATAGGGGATACACCAAGTAACCAATGGAATCCTGTAGAGGGTATTTAAACTCCCCAAAATTCTGTAATGGGACCCTTGAGCCCCTATGCTCAGATCCATTCCCAAACTGTGAGGTGCACTTTCACTTTCCACAAATTTCTGCTTCTGTTACTTCATTCTTTCCTTGCTTTGTTTGTGCATTTTGTCCAATTCTTTGTTTAAGAATCTGGACACCCTCCAACATTAACACTCTTATAATTACAGTTGTGCAGTGCACAGCCTGTGCCCTGTGTGGTAGTGTTGCCCACTTAGCAGTGAGGAGTGCATATTTTTCCTGCATTATCACCAAAACAGTTTTCTTTTATTTATTATTATTTTTTTAAGATAGGGCCTCGCTCTGTCACCCAGGCTAGAGTGCCATGGTGCAGTCTCTGCTCACTGCAACCTCTGCCTCTCGGGTTCAAGTCATCCTCCCATCCCAGCCTTCTGAGTAGCTGGGACTCCAGGCATGTGCCACCATGCTTGGCAAATTTCTGTATTTTTTTTGTAAACATGGGGTCTATTTTATCCAGGCTGGTCTTGAATTCCTGAGCTCAAGTGATCCACCTGCCTTTGCCTCAGCCTGGATGTTATCATCTTTTAAATGTTAGCTAAATGATGAGTGAAAAAGTATTTTGTTGTTCTATGCTTATTTTAATATACTGTAAGTGTGGTTCCAGTCATTTATTGAAGAAGTATTTATTGAGGTCCTCTAACACAATAGTAAACAAAAGAATCCCTGTCATGATGGACCTTAACTTCCAGTGTATGCATGTCTATGTGTTTGAGTGTCCTGCCCCTCCCTCTGTCAGGACAGGAACATCCCATCCTGGGTTCCTCTCTGCTCTGGGAAGACATTAGATGTGACCTAACATGGGCGCCTCTGTATGCACCAGGCAGAAAAAAGCTCCCGAGCTGTCTTTCAGGATTGGCAGACTGACCACTTCTCAGTCCTCACAGGGGAGTACTAGGGAAGAAACAATCTCTGCCAACCAATGGCCTTCAGACCTCTCCTGTCATGTTTGATGGAGATGAGGCGGTCTTCAATGAAAATAAAAGACTCAGGACACTGGCAAGATGAGCTTGGAAGAGTTATCTCGGTCACAGGAAGGCTGGAATGGTAATATTGAAGTTTTAGAAACTAGGGAAATTTGACCTTGGTGAACATTACATGGAAGGGCTTCCACTGTTTGTAGGTTCTTTTGGAAGTGATGGAAACTGAGTCTAAAGACTTTGTGGCATAGCAGGAACTCAGCCTTTTACTCTGCTCTTGAAGGATCCTACCTACTCAGAGTAACCACTGCAGGACCCCACAGGGAACCAGGGAAGGTCAAAAGCCAGGCCATGACTGGCTGTATCTGCTCTTGCTCTGTGGCCATCTCACTACCCTTAAAGTAATGTGAAACATGGTGTGTGTGTGTGTGTGTGTGTGTGTGTGTGTGTGTGTGTGTGCGCGCGTGCATTTGTTTTCTTATGGGCCATCTGTTGTCCTCACAGCCCTGCAGTGAGTCAGATTCCACCATGAGATTAAAAGTGGGAAAGGAGCAGAAGTTCCAGGCAGGAATGAGGCTGCCTTTTCACCAAGCTCAGCTATAGCGTAACTAACTGGATGGCCAAGTGACAGGACTGGAAGATGTCCTTTAGGGCCCCAGCCTGGTGCTGTGAAACCAGTACAGCAGTGAGACACTGGGAAGCCATTTTTGCACAGGCTGGGAAGAGGCGCTCACAGTGGCAGCCATGAGGCAACTCCAGGATCCTTGAGAGCATCAGTGATCAGCCCCTTTACGTGAGGGGCCCCCACTGAACATTAGGTGCAAGGATAGCTGGGGAGCAGGAGTAGAAGAGATGGGCAGGTAAGGCTGACCTGGCCCAGCCCCAGTGTGGGTCTGACTCCTAGGAGGTGCCAAGGGTTGGAACAGGCAAGCATTTCATTCACTTCTGCCCAGCGCCTGACATCTCCATCATCCAAACTAAGCAGAGCAGGGAAAGGATACCCCATCTGAAGCACAGACAGGGTGTGACTTCCCTAAAGACACACAGCATATTATAAACGAGTCAGGCCTAAGACTCAGAAGCAATGGCTCCCTGTCCTGGCATCACTCCCTCATTCACTCCTTCTGGGAATGCCCATTACGGACCTCTCCTTATGATCATCAAAACATTTACTGAGCACAATAGAGCAGCAGGGTGGCGGGGGAGGGGGGGGGGGGGCGCTTTGTACAGGCAATGAGGGGGATGTAATCTGCAGAAAGGTTGAAGGCAACAAGAAAACCACCAAAAATAGGTCTGCTTTTTATTATCACTGCACTGGCAATTCCAAAGTCAGCGAATAAACTAGCCCAAAAAACCTTCTGTTAGTCTTAAGTTAAATAATCTTCGTAGTTATGGTTAGGTTTTAATAATATGATATTAGCACTTTTAAAAACCACCTGTAATAAGCATTGTATGCTATATAGACACTAATCCAGAGAACTTCCAGTTATACACTTGGCCCCCAGCACACCCAGACTCAGACAGGGGCATTTGTTTCAAGTTTGGTAACAATTTGGAATGCTTCAAAGAAATGGTAATTATGATCATACTTGTTCTCACACACTACCTCGCCATCAGTACCATCTTAAAGTTTCTGGAATGAGGTGTGCCCGAGAATTGTGATGTCCAAGAAACCCACCAGTCAGTGGGCAGAGGGTGAGTTAGGTGTTGTCACTGTCTGCTCCCCAGTTGTTCAGGTGACAATGATCAAGCCCAGTGGAATTTTACCCGATTCCCTAATTAGCACTTAAAATGACCTTTAAAATTATATCACATGGAAATAACAGATTATATTGAGTATACAGAACACTGATTTATTGCTAGCCAGACAATGCAGTTAAAAGAGAAGGCTGGGCATGGTGGCTCAGGCCTGTAATCCCAGCACCTTGGAAGGCTGAGGCGGGATGACCATTTGAGTCCAGGAGTTTGACCATTTGAGTCCAGCCTGGGCAACGTGGTAAAACTCTGTCTCTACAAAAAGTAATTAGCTGGATGTGGTGGTGCATGCCTGTAGTCCCAGCTACTCCGGAGGCTGAGATGGGAAGATCACTTGAGCCCAGGAGTTAGAGGCTGCAGTGAGCTATGATCACACCACTGCAATCCAGCTTGGGCAACAAAATGAAACTCTGTCAGAAAAAAAAAAAAGGAACAGAAAAAAGAAAGTAAAAATTGCTAAATTCCTCCAAAGTGTATGTAGGAAATAATGTAAATGGTGGTCCATTTCCAAGACAAAGTGCCTCAAGTAGGCTTGGGTGTGCAAACTACAGAAGGACAGAATATACTAGGCCCCTGCTTTAATAGCTGGCACCTGCTTGTTGGGGCGCCCTTAACTGCCCTCACCTGAACCTAAGAGTTTAGTTTAGAGTAAAAGCTTAGTAGCCTGTTTAAATAAGCTCAGTTTATCTATTCTTATCAGCTTGCCTGAATACCTAGGTCATAAGTCAAATACTTTAAAAGCCCCTGAGCAGACTGTCATTGCAACGCAGTAGGGACTGCAACAAAATGCAGCTAGACAACCATAAAGAAAACACCTAAAACCGGGGAAGATGGCTGTGAGCAGGCAACACGGGAATGCAGCTCCCCGCAAATGAGACGCACAGGGCTAGAGGACTTCATGATTCCAGGGCGAGAGCCGCCCAGCAGGGCAAATCAAGACGAGGCGGCGGGGACCCGGTGAGTACCCACCTGAAACGTGCAGCTGGTTCAGAGGGTCTGGGGGGACTTCACCCCAATAAGCGCTCCAATTCGGATCCTGTGCTTACCTCATTCCTCCTGCAACCCACGGTCCTCGAGAGCCCTGCCAGACTGAGGGGCGCCGTGGGTAGTTGAAGCAAATCTGAGCAGCGGCTACCGCCCAGCGCAGCAAGTTGCACAAACCCGCGGGACAGAGAGTCCAAAGGCAAAGTTGAAAGCAGGGAAACAGACCATAAGGCCTGGCAGGCCCCACCTCCGCAGAACTCAGACTGAAGCCCTAGCTAGAGAGCCTGGCAGCAAGTACACCAGCAGTTTGACTTCAACCAGGAAGCCCGAGCTCTGGGAGAGGCGCCATTGAGAAGGCGGGGCTAATCTCACCTGCAAACAAACTCCAGGGAAGGACCACCCACCCAACAACCTGACTGAACCCAAGAGCGCCCAGCAACGCCCTCTACAGGCCAAAAAATATATAGCTCCAACCTCAACAGAAAAAAACCATCCACTCAGTCTCCTCCTGAAATCACAAACTTCAAAGATCAAAGGGAGATAAATCCACGAAGATGGGGGGAAACAGCGCAAAAAAGATGAAACCATCAAAGAATAGAATATCTCTTCTCCGTCCAGGGATCACCACTCCTCACTATCAAGGGAACAAAAAAAGGGAATGAATTTGACGAATTGACAGAAGTAGGCTTCAGAAGGTGGGTAATAACAAACTTCTCTGAGTTAAAACACCATGTTCTAACCCAAAGCAAAGAAACTAAGAACCTTGAAAAAAGGTTAGACGAAATGCTAACTAGAATAACCAGTTTAGAGAAGAAAATAAATGACTTGATGGAGCTGAAGAACACAGCACAAGAACTTCATGAGGCATACACAAGTTTCAACAGCCAAATCGATCAAGCAGAAGAAAGGATATCAGAGATAGAAGATCAAATCAATGAAATAAAACAAGGAGGCAAGATTAGAGAAAAAGTGAAAAAAAAAAAATGAACAATGCCTCCAAGAACTATGGTATTATGTGAAAAGACCTAATCTACACTTGATCGGCGTACCTGAATGTGACAGGGAGAATGAATCCAAGTTGGAAAGCACTCTTCAAGATATTACCCAAGAAAACTTTCCCAACCTAACGAGGCAGGCCAACATTCAAATCCAGGAAATACAGAGAACATTCAAATCCAGGAATATCAACATTCAAATCCAGGAATATCAAAGATATTCCTCAAGAAGAGCAACCCCAAAGCACATAATTGTTTAAATTCACCAGGGTTGAAATGAAGGAAAAAATCCTAAGGGCAGCCAGAGAGAAAGATCGAGGCACCCACAAAGGAAAGACCATAAGATTCACATGGGATCTCTCAGCAGAAACCCTACAACTAGAAGGGAGTGGGGGCCAGTATTCAACATCCTTAAAGAAAGGAACTTTCAACCCAGAATTTCATATCTGGCCAAACTAAGCTTTGTAAGTGAAAGAGAAATAAAATCCTTTATAGACAAGCAATTGCTGAGAGATTTCGTCACTACAAGACCTGCCTTACAAGAGCGACTGAAGGAAGTACTAAACAGGGAATGGAACATCCAGTACCAGCCTCTGAAAAAATGGTAAAGAACAATGATGCAATGAAGAAACCACATCAACTAACATGCAAAACAACCAGCCAGTAACAAAATGGCAGGATGAAATTGAAACGTAACAATATTAACATTGAATGTAAATGGCCTAAACGCCCCACTCAAAAGACACAGACTGGCAAACTGGATAAAAAGTCAAGACCCATCTCACATACAAAGACTCACATAGACTCAACATAAAGGGATGGAAGAAGATTTACCAAGCAAATGGAAAGCAAAAAAAAAAAAAAAGCAGGAGTTGCAATCCTAGTCTCTGATAAAATGGACTTTAAACCAACAAGGATCAGAAGAGACAAAGAAGGGCATTATATAATGGTAAAAGGATCAATGCAACAAAAAAGAGCTAACTATCCTAAATATATAGGCACCCAATGCAGAAGCACCCAGATACATAAAGCAAGTTCTTAACGACCTACAAAGAGACTTAGACTCCCGCACAATAATAGTGGGAGACTCTAACACTCCACTGACAATATTGGACATATCAATGAGACAGAAAGTGAACAAGGATATCCAGGACTTGAATGCAGATTTGGACCAAGCCGACCTAATAGACATTTACAGGACACTCCACCCCAAATCCACAGAATTCACATTCTTCTCAGCACCACACTGCACTTACTCCAAAATTGACCACATAATTGGAAGTAAGTTACTCCTCAGCAAATGCAAAAGAACGGAAATCATAACAGTCTCTCAGATCACAGCACAGTCAAATTAGAACTCAGGATAAAGAAAAGCACTCAAAACTGCACAATCACATGGAAACTGAACAACTTGCCCTGAATGATGAATAGATAAACAATGAAATGAAGGCAGAAATAAAAATGTTCTTTGAAACCAATGAAAATGAAGACACAACATACCAGATCCTATGGGACATATTTAAAGCAGTCTGTAGAGGAAAATGTATAGCAATAAATGCCCACATGAGAAACAAGGAAAGATCTAAAATCACTGTCATCAAAATTGAAAGAGCTAGAGGAGCAAGATCAAAAAAACTCAAAAGCAAGCGGAAGACAAGAAATAACTAAGATCAGAGCAGAACTGAAGGAGATAGAGACACAAAAACCCTTCAAAAAATCAGTAAATCCAGGATTTGGTTTTTTTTAAAGATCAACAAAATAGACTGCTAGCTAGACTAATAAAAAAGAAAAGAGAGAAGAATTGAATCAATTCAATAAAAAACAATAAAGGGGAGATCACCACCGATTCGTCAGAAATACAAACTACCATCAGAGATTACTACAAACCCCTCTATGCAGATAAACCAGTAAATCTGGAAGAAATGGATAAATTCCTGGACACTTGCAGACTCCCAAGACTAAGCTAAGAAGAAGTTGAAACCCTGAATAGTCCAATAACAAGATCTGAAGTTGAGGCAGCAATTAATAGCCTACCAACTAAAAAAAGTCCAGGTCCAGGCGGGTTCACAGCCGAATTCTACCAGATATACAAAGAGGAGCTGGTACCATTCCTGCTGAAACTATTCCAAACAATACAAAAAGAGGGCATCCTCTCTAACACTTTCTATGAGACCAACATCATCCTGATACCAAAATCTGGCAGAGAAACAACTAAAAAAGGAAACTACAGGCCAATATCCATGATGAACACTGATGCAAAAATCTTCAATAAAATGCTGGCAAACCGAATCCAACACCATATCAAAAAGCTTACCCACCATGATCAAGTAGGCTTCATCTCCGGGATGCAAGGCTGGTTCAACATAAGCCAATCTATAAACATAACTCACCATATAAACAGAACCAAAGACAACCATATGATTATCTCAATAGATGCAGAGATGGCCTTCAACAAAATTTAACAGCCCTTTATGCTAAAAACTCTCAATAAACTAGGTATCGATGTAATGTATCTTAAAACAATAAAAGCTATTTATGACAAAGCCACAGCCAATTTCATACTGAATGGGCAAAAACTAGAAGCATTCCCTTTAAAAACTGGCAGTAGACAAGGATGCCCTCTCTTACCACTCCTATTCAATATAATATTGGAAGTTCTAGCCAGAGCAATTAGGCAAGAGAAAGAAATAAAGGGCATTCAGTTAGGAAAAGAAGTCAAATTGTCCCTATTTGCAGACGACATGATCGTATATTTAGAAGACCCCATCATCTCAGCCCAAAACCTCCTTATGCTGATAAGCAACTTGAGCAAAGTCTCAAGATACAAAATCAATATACAGAAATCACAAGCATTCCTATACACCAATAACAGATAAACAGAGAGCCAAATCATGAGCGAACTCCCATTTACAACTGCTACAAAGAGAATAAAATGTCTAGGAATACAACTAGCAAAGGATGTAAAAGATCTCTTCAAGGAGAACTACAAACCACTGCTCAATGAAATAAGAGAGGACACAAACAGATGGAAAAACATTCCATGCTCATGGTTAGGAAGAATCAATATTGTGAAAATGGCCATACTGCCCAAAGTAATTTATAGATTCAATACTATCCCCATCAAGCTACCAATGACCTTCACAGAACTGGAAAAAACACTTTAACCTTCATTTGGAACCAAAAGAGAGCCTGCAAAGCCAAGACAATCCTAAGCAAAAAGAACAAAGCTGGAAGCATCACACTACCTGACTTCAAACTATACTACAAGGCTACAGTAATCAAAACAGCATGGTACTGGTACCAAATACTGGAGATAAAGACCAATAGAACAGAATAGAGGCCTCGGAAGCAATGCCACACATCTACAACCATCTGATTTTTGACATACTGGACAAAAACAAGCAGTGGAGAGAGGATTCCCTGTTTAATAAATGGTGTTGGGAAAACTGGCTAGCCATGTGCAGAAAGCAGAAACTGGACCACTTCCTTATACCTTATACAAAAATTAACTCCAGATGGATTAAAGATTTAAACATAAGACCTAACACCATACAAACCCTAGAAGAAAACCTAGGTAAACACCATTCAGGACATAGGCATAGGCAAGGACTTTATGACTAAAATACCAAAAGCAATAGCAACAAAAGCCAAAACAGACAAATGGGATCTAATTAAACTTAAGAGTTTCTTCACAGCAAAAGAAACAATCATTAGAGTAAGCCCACAACCAACAGAATGGGAAAAAATTTTTGCAATCTACCCATCGGACAAAGGGCTAATGTCCAGGATCTACAAAGAACTAAAGCAGATTTACAAGAGAAAAACAAACAAACCCATCCAAAAGTGGGCAAAGGATATGAACAGACACTTTTCAAAAGAAGAAAATATGTGGCCAACAAACATATGAAAAGATGCTCATCACCACTGGTCATTAGAGAAACGCAAATCAAAACCACATTGAGATACAATCTCACGCCAGTTAGAATGGCGATCATTAAAAAACCTGAAGACAACAGATGCTGGAGAGGATGTGGAGAAATGGAACACTTTTACACTGTTGATGGGAGTGTAAATTAGTTCAACCATTGTGGAAGACAGTGTGGCGATTCCTCAAGGACCTAGAAATAGAAATTCCATTTGACCCAGCAATCCCATTACTGGGTATATACCCAAAAGATTGTATATCATTCTAATATAAGGACACATGCACACATATGTTCATTGTGGCACTGTTTATGATAGCAAAGACCTGGAACCAACCCAAATGCCCATTGATGATAGACTGGACAAAAAAAAAATGTGGCATATATACACCATGGAATACTATGCAGCCATAAAAAATGAGTTTGTGTCCTTTGTACAGACATGGATGAATCTATAAAGCATTATTCTCAGCAAACTGACACAAGAACAGAAAACCAAACACCACATGTTTTTCACTCATCGGTGGGTGATAAACAATAAGAATACTCAGCATAGGGAAGGGAACAACCCTCACAGGGCAAGGTGGTGTGGTGGAGGGGAGGGGAGGGGAGAGACAGCGAAGGGGGGCAGGGAGGATGGGGATGGATAGCACCGGGAAAAATGCCTGATGTAGGAGACAGTAGGGGGGCAGGGGGAGGCGCAGGGATGGAGACAGCAAACCACCATGGCATGTACCTATGCAACAATCCTGCAGGATACAGGATGTACATATGTACCCCAGAGCCCAAATACAAGTAAAAAAAAAAAAAACTCCTAAAACTCCTACCTGGCCAGGTGAGGTGGCTCACGCATATAATTCCAGCACTTTGAGAGGCCAAGGTGGGCAGATCACTTGAGCTCAGGAGTTCAAGACCAGCCTGGCCAACATGGTGAAACCGTGTCTCTAATAAAAATACAAAAATCAGCCAGGTGTGGTGGCATGTGTCTGTAATCCCAGCTACTTTGGAGGCTAAGGCTGGAGAATCACTTGAACCCAGGGTGGGGGGGTTGGTGGTGGAGGTTGCAGTGAGCCAAGATCACACCATTGTACTCCAGGCTGGGCGACAGAATGATACTCTGTCTCAAAAACAAAATAATAAAATAAAAAGCCCTATCCACGACCAACAGATGATGTCCAGGGTTTAGGAAGATTGTGACCCCACAGTACAGCCCATGAGGAACCAGGGCAGGGACCTGCACACTAGAGGATAAAGTGCTTGTTGTAACCATGATGGGGGTTACCAGATGCCTGATCTTGCAAGGCTGTCATTAAAAGTCTCTTTCCAACTCTTCTCTGTGTCTCTAAGTCCCTTCTTTGGGTTTGGATAGGTGAGTTTGTTTCTCACAGTCTAGACTCTAGATGTGAAGAACTTTGATCATATTACCAAAGTAGATGGTGGTATGTAATTTTATAAATAAAAATACACGATTGTCATTTTTTTTTCCAGGGGAAATCTGATTTGAATCTTTTTAATTAAAAGAAAAAAACCTGTTATTAAGCCGGGTGCCAGGGCTCAGGCTCATAATCCCAGCATTTTGGGAGGCTGAGGTGGGTGGATCGCTTGAGCTCAGGAGTTCAAGACCAGCCTGGGAAACATGAAGAAATGTCGTCTCTGCTAAAAATACAAAAATTATCAGGGTGTGGTTGGCATGTGTCTGTAGTCCCAGCTACTTGGGCGGCTTGGAGGATGAGGTAGGAAGATGGCTTAAGCCCAGGAGGCAGAGGTTGCAGTAAGCCGAGATCACGCCACTGCACTCCAGCTTGGGCGACAGAGCAAGACCTTCTCAAAAAAATTTTTATAAACCCTGTCATTAAACAGATTTAATATTTTCCTTTAAAAAATCATCGTACCAGTGATGGCATCATAGAATTAAATAACGTCAATGAAAGTCAGGATTCTTCCAGCTGTAAGCAACAGAAAACCCACTTCAAACTGGCTTCAGTTAAAAAGGCATTTGATTGTCTCTTGTGCCTGAAAAGCCTAAGGGTAAGCAGTTGGCTTCATGCACAGCTGAACTTGAGGGATTCAGCTACGAGGCCCTGGTCCGTCTCTCCGCCCTCAGTTCTGCTTTCTCTGCAATGGCTCCATTCTCAGTGGGAGCAGGATGGCTGCCAGTTAACTCCAGCTTCAAATACCCTTAGGTTAGAAGCTTCCAGACTTCTCCACAATCGAAACCAGTTTTAAGCCTGATGCCATTGGCTGGAATTGGGCCACATGCCCCACCCTGACCCCCACTCCTCTGAGGTTTGGGGATTGGAATGCACAGATCGGCAAGCCTCTCTTCCCCTTTTGGAGCCAGAAGAAGAGTCAACTCCACACATTGCACATGGCTGAGGTGGAGGAGAGGAGGCTTCCTCAGAGGAAAATTGAGGACAGCTACCATAAGAAGGGGAAGTAGATGATAGGTGACCCCCAACAGCCATCCTTGGAAGGAAATTATGTAAATGTATATTAATATGTACTAATAATGGGAGGTTTAAAGATGACTTCTGAATCACCCACCTGCCAGCCCAGGTGGCCCAGAGAGGAAAAGCATGATTTGTTAGATCATCTGGCAGAACAGGAGAGTCCATGGTGTTTCCTGGTGTGGTAGGGTTGGGAAGCCAGAGGCTACCAAGTAGAGTGACTTGCCCAGGGCCACACAGCCACCCATAGGCAGGGGTGAAACTAGAATACAAAACTCAGGTATCTGGTTCCCCATCCAGTGCTCCCAGCTGGCCTTGTGAGGGCCAAAAGGGGCTCCAGGAGGGGTCTTCTAACTGATTCCTCACCCCAGGGGGAGCAGCTCCAGCAGCCTCTCCTAGCTGCCATGGTGGAGCATTTTCAACAAGTCCCTCCCACTCCCCTGCCCCTACTGCCCTGGGATCTCTCAGGTGAAAGGAGGGGCAGGTCAGTCTTACCCTGGAGTCCTGAGTCCCACAGGCCTTCACAGTCTTTATGGAACCAATCTGAGGCCTTAATCTTACATAAAATGCAGTAAGCAGAGCCCTACGCAAGAGCCTCTACCCTCTCCAGCTCATTCTGAAGCCACCACCACCAGGCCAGGCTGGGTCTTCCTGGGCTCCAAATCTCCACCCCACTGGATCCTAAGAAACCCACAGTGCTCCTACAGCTTGTTCAGAACTAGCACTGCTCTGGCCTGAACCCACCAGCCAGGCTGCCTGGTGGGCTTCTCCATGGGAATGCTTGGGTGCAGCAAGCTGACTGAGCTGGGGAGGGAAGCCTGTCTTGAAGCAGTGTTTGCATAAAAGCACATTATTTTCTGTAGATGGTGTTTATTTAGATAAAGGGGTTATTATGATAGAGATTAAGAGGGGCTTAAAAAAAAAAAGGTGGCCAGGCACGGTGGCTTATACCTGTAATCCCAGCACTTTGGGAGACCGAGGCAGGGGATCATGAGGTCGAGATCGAGACCATCCTGGCCAACATAGTGAAACCCCATCTCTTAAAAAAATAGGGGCTTAAGCATCCCCAAAGCCCACCCCTTGGTGCCACCATTGTTATCACTAATTTAAATGAGAGGAACGACACCTTAACTCAATGTCAGCACCAATGGTGAAAATCCAGACCCCTCAGTGGGAAAAACAGACTGGGATGTGGGCAGGACACAGTGACAAGGTCTTCTCGGCATGTTAGCACTTTAAACAAGGATGATACTGATGACATAGAAAGCCGGCAATGATAAATTAAGTGAAAGGGAAAATTATGGGAAAGTATGTATAACATGTATATACTCATATATATATGTATAAAGTTATAGTAGTTAAGAGCATAGGATCTGGAGCCAATCTGCCCGAGTTCAAATCTTTCACCTCATACTTACCTTGAGCATTTCATTTAAACTCTCTGTGCCCCAATTTCTTGATCTGTAAAATGAGGCAAACACATCTAAAGTGTCTAACACAGGTCTGGACATACAGTAAGTGCTCAAAAATGTTAGCTGCTAATCTTGTTAGTCTCTTGCACAGGAAACTTGCACTCCCAGCCTTGGTGGTGACCAGGCCTGAGCCTCCCCACCCCTGGGCTCAGGAACCTCAGCACCCTGCCACTGCCGGCTGCCCATTGTTTCTGCCTTCCTGTTCTGCCCTGCTCCAGAACACGGCGGGAGCAGCTCCAGCCATCCAGGAAAGCATCCCTGTTCTGGCACCCAGCCCCACTCCACCTTCAGAGCGCTCAGCCAGGCCCCTCCTGCCCCTTGTTGGAAGCACTGAATTACGAGTCTTCAGACTGACGCCTACTTGTGTTTTCTTAATGGAAAAACGAGAAAACGAAGGAATCCACTTGACAGGGCCACCTGAGGGTTAAGTAAGATCACACGTGCAACCCTGAGAATGGCTGTCCTCATTCATTGTCTTGCTCAAGACCAGCTTTCAAATGTTGCTTCCAGCCAGGATGCAGGAGGACCAGTTCCACCTCTAGTGTCTGGGGCCTAGATTTCCCAGATCTTGCTGCCTTTCCCTATCTGACACCCAGATTTCCCCCAGAAAGACAAAATAGACACTTCACTGAGATTAGGAGCTAGCTAGTCAACCTAGGTGAGCATGCCATTTTGGAGATTATTCAAACTGAGCCCTGGAGGAGTCAAGCGACTCAGAGTACCCCAGCCAGCCACTGGCACAGGTGCAGTTAAGGAACCAAAGCCAAAAGTGGGTCAAAGAGCTGGGTGACGTTTCCAGGCTGGCAGCTGGGAGACCAGGATTTGGGGTTGCTGGATCCTGGCTCTGCTACTGAATTCTGTGCCCATTTTCCTTCTCTAGTGGCTGTAGGAAGGCAGATGTGGCCCTCACCTTGCCCGTGCCAAAAGCTGGCTGCATTACTGAGTCATTTGACCCCTCCAGGGTCAGTTTGTCTCATCTCCAAATTGGCATGCTCACCTAGATTAATGAGCTAGCCCCTGATCTCAGGGGAGTTTCTTTCTTGTCTTTCTGCTGCCTTCTTTTCCATTTCTCTGCTCAGAAGTGGAACTGTGTCAACGGATCAGGGCTGGCTATTTGAGGCTTTTGGAAGAGTAAATCCAAGTCATAGCTTCATGTCTTTCTGAACTGGGCAGGACCAAGGCTAGGCTTTTTTAAAATTTCAACAGTTTTTGGGGTACAGGTGGGTTCTTGTTACATGTATAAGTTCTTTAGTGGTGAGTTCTGAGATTTTGGTACCCCCATCAACTAAGCTGTGTACCCTGTACCCAATATGTAGCCTAATTCCTCAACCCCCCCCACCCTCCCCTGTGAGTCCTCAAAGTCCATTATATTCTTCTTCTTCTTCTATTTTTTTTTTTTTTTTTTTTTTGATAGGGAGTCTTGCTCTGACGCCCAGGCTGGAGTGCAGGGGTGCAATCTTGGCTCACTGTAACCTTTGCCTCCCGGGTTCAAGCAATTCCCTGCCTCAGCCTCCCAAGTAGCTGGGATTACAGGTTCCTGCCACCACATCTGGCTAATTCTTTGTATTTTTAGTAGAGACGAGGTTTCACCATCTTGGCCAGGCTGGTCTTGAACTCTTGACCTTGATCTCCACCCGCTTCAGCCTCCCAAAGTGCTGGGAATACAGGCGTGAGCCACAGCACCCAGCCTCATTATATTATTCTTATGCTTTTGCATCCGCACAACTTAGCTGCCATTTAGAGAACATCACAAGGTCAAGAGAACAGCCTGGCCAGCATGGTGAAACCCCATCTCTACTAAAAATACAAAAGTTAGCTAGGCATGGTGGTGCACACCTGTAGTCCTAGCTACTTGGGAGGCTGAAGCAGGAGAATTGCTTGAACCCGGCAGGCGGAGTTTGCAGTGAGCCAAGATCGTGCCACTGCACCCCAGTCTGGGCAACAGTGAGATTCCTTCCAAAAACAAAAAAACATGATATTTGGTTTTCCATTCCTGAGTTACTTTACTCAGAATAATGCCTCCAGCTCCACCCAAGTTGCTGCAGAGGCCATTATTCTGTTCCGTTTTATGGCTGAGTAGTATTCTAAGGTGTATATATACCACATTTTCTGGATCCACTCGTTGGCTGATGGGCCATTTATGTTGTTCCCATATTTTTGCCATTGCCGATTGTGCTGCTATAAACATGCGTGTGCATGTATCTTTTCCACACATGACTTCTTTTCCTTTGGGTAGGTACCCAGTAGTGGGATTGCTGGGTTGAATGGTAGTTCTACTTTTAGTTCCTTAAGGAACCTCCATACTGTTTTCCATAGTGGTTGTACTGGTTTACATTCCGACCAAGGCTGGGCTTTTGATCTGCTTTCTCCCCACCCTCACCCAAGGGAAGCTGAGAGGACCTCTATGTCCACAGGTTGCTTTAACATGACAGATGACACAAAGCAGCATGCTGAGTGTCCACTGTACCGTAGCGAATGTCCTGTTAACAGAGGGAGTTTACTAAAGATCTGAGGGTGGAGGAGGAGCTGCATCACAGGAAGGCAACAGCTTTAGAATCTAACCCTATTCTCAGAGTACTCTCCTGCTTGGCTTCACCCTTCCAGGGGACTTTCCCTGGGAGCCACTATACTGTTCCAGCCTCCATCCATCATGCTGCCTTCCTTCTCCTGTCCCCTCTTTTAATACCCCCATCTTGTGCATCGCCACAGGAACCCCCAAATCTTCTGTTTGAATGGGGGCAGTCATCATGGGTTAAGTTGCCCCCATCTCCATTAACTCCCCCAAAACCGTCCCAAATAAAGTCACCCCCCAAAAATCTTAGGACTATATTGTGCTTTTGTAAGCACACGGTCTTACAATATGCCCCCTCCAAACTGACTGCCTCTCCAAAGCCCCTCTTTGCCAAGCTCCTGCTCTCAAATTTGACCACCCAAATCTGGCATAGGGCTCAGCTGGGCAGTCTTCTGCTGAAAAGTACACCTTCCATAGAAGGCTGTTGGGAGCAGAAAGGCATTTCCCCACTGTTACTCATCCACTTCGTCTTCACTAAAATTCTGCAGGTTAAGAAATACTGCCTCAATTTTACAGAAGTGGAAACTAATGCTCCTTGCTGGGACTGTGTCTTAGTCCATTCAGTGTGCTGTAACAACTACTTTAAACTGGGTAATTTATTAACAGAAATTTACTACTGCTCACAATTCTGGAGGTTGGGAAGTCCTCCAGATCAAGATCAAGGTGCTCTCTGCTTCAGAGATTACATTTTCTCACTGTATCCTCAGGTAAAGGGGCAAACAAACTCCCTCAGACCTCTTGTATAAGAGCCCTAATCTCTGCTCTAATGACATAATCACCTCTCAAAAGAACCCACCTCTTAGTACTATCACACTGGAGATTCAGTTTCAACAAAGGAATTCTACCCACAGTGGCAGGTTGGACTGACCTGCCTCAGACCCAGGCTCCAGAATGTCAGATGTCTTTCCATCTCTTAGCCCCTTACTTCCAGGTAGGTCCTAGCAGGGCTCAGTACAGCCTCCCAGGTCACATCTGCTACCCCTGCCCCAACACAGGTGATCACAGCTGGCTGGCACTCTGGAACAGAGGCCTGAGGTTGTTATAAATGTCATCCTCCTTTATTTCCTACTCTCTGCCTTCCAGGCATGTGGTGGGATGGCAGTTCTCTGCTCCCTTGTGCTTGGGAGGTAGGGTAACCTGGCCAACAAGGTATGAGAAGTGACATTTGTCATTTGGGCTGGCGCACTTAATTGCCAGATAGAGACCTCTTTCCCTCTGCCATGGCTTCTGACAGGCTTTGAGACGGCAGCTGCTCCATCACCCCTGGTCCTGGAGTAAGGAGACACGGGGACCCTGCCAGCCCTGGGTGGATAGTAGTGTGCATGAGAAAGACACCTTCTATTAGGAGCCACTGAGATTTCAGGGTCGTTTGTTGCTGCAGCATAACCTGGCCTACCTGAACTCATACATACCTCCAAAGAGCAAAACAAGACAGAGCTCAGAAACAGCATGAAGGATGTTGTCTCTGGAGACCAAATGCTCAAAGTGGACATCTTTGGTGTTCAGGCGTCAGCAGGGACTGGAAGTGACAGAGTTGACCCTTTGTGGGACCTTAGTACCGCTAGAGGAAACCTCAGAGAAAATCCATCCAAACTCTACCCTGACCAAATGTGGAGACTGAGACCCAGAGAGGGCAGGGGCTGGATAGCATGCTGTAACAGAGGCTGGCACAGAACCTGCTAACAATAGACTCCCTCCATTTCCCAGACTCCATGGAGCTCTATGTGACCATGTGATCAAATTTTTGCCACCTAAGGACTCCTTTGTGGGTTTCTTAAAGAGGAATCTGTGACTCAGCTGCACCAGGGTAGGAGACCACTAGACGTTCACAGCCAAGGCCTGGCCTTACCACTCTCAAGATGTGTTGCCTTGGGAAAAGTGCTTTACTCTGAAGCTGGGGACTAAGGTGAACAGATGAGATCAGTATATACCCAGTGCCCAGCAGAGCGCCCACACTGCAGGAACTCAATAAATGGTACTCTTCCTGTTATTGTCATTCAGCAACAAAGCTGTGGTGACATAAGCCAGGGTCTTACTGCACCACCCAGATTCCATGCAGAGGGCTGGAGTGCAGAGAAGCTCCTCTGCCCAGCTTGCATTCTCTCTTCTGCGAAGAGCATATCCATTTTCACTTCAATCAGATGACTATTTCTGTAACGTGCAGCCATGAGAATGTAGGAAAATAACATTTACTAAATTTCAGCTGTGTCCTAGGCTTAGTCCTCATTTGGTCTTCAGGATAAGTCTGTAAATAAGGTAGGTGTGGAAACTACAGCTCAGAGAGGTTTAGTAATGTGTGCAACATCACAGAGCTGGGACTCAGCTCTGACGCCTGAGCCCAACCCATCTTTTAAATAAGGGTCAGCAATTTAAGTTTCTAACCGTGATTGACTTTTCTAGGAGGGGCATTTATTCATTCAATCAATATTTACTGAGGCCAGGTGTGGTGGCTCACGCCTGTACTCCCAGTACTTTGGAAGGCCAAGGTGGGCAGAGCCCTTGAGCTCAAGAGTTCAAAACCAGCCTGGGCAACATGGCAAAACCCCATCTCTACAGAAAATACAAAAATTAGCCAGCCGTAGTGGCATGCACCTGTGATCCCAGCTACTTGGGAGGCTGAGACAGGAGAATCACTTGAGCCTGGCAAACAGAGCAAGATCCTATTTAAAAAAAATGTACTGAGAGCCTGCTGTGTTCTGGATATAGTAGTAGGCCCTAGGGATAAGACTAGCCCCTGCCGTCATGGAGCACCCATTCCAGATGGCATAGGGACTTCACCTCATAAGCCAACTCTAGGTGACAGTAGCTGCCTGCAGCATTATAAGAGGATCCGGAGAGGCCTCTGGGCTCAGCAGATAAGGAGGTAGTGGTTAATTACTCAAGCGGCCACGGGTGCTACTAGGGAGTTTCTGAGTGTGTGCTGTATATTGGCCACCCAAAGTTTTAGACCTACTCATACAAATGTAAACAAAACAGACAAATATTCTGATCAGAGCACAGGTTACACTCCTTATTTTGAAAAGATTCACTAGCTGGGCATCATGGCTCATGCCTGTAATCTCAGCACTTTGGGAAGCTGAGGCAGGTGGATTGCTTGAGCCCAGGAGTTTGAGACCAGTCTGGGTAACATGGTGAAACCCTGTTTCTACAGAAAAAAAAAAAAAAAAATTAGCCAGGTGTGGTGGTATGCACCTGTGGTCTCAGCTACTAGGGAGGCTGTGGTAGGAGGATCCCTTGAGCCCGGGAGGTTGAGGCTCCAGTGAGCCATGATTGCACTACAGCCTCGGCAACAGAGCGAAATGCTATCTCAAAAGAAGAGTAACCACTGTAGAGCTAATGACTTGGCCCTGCCCTCAAAGAACTTAGGGTCTAACTAGTAGCCTAAGGTACACACGAAGATAAGATGATTATTATTAAAGAATGGAACAGGATAGTCTGATCCAGAGTCAGAGGGGAAAGGCCACATGAATGGGGATGATCCAGGAGGCTTCCTAGAGGAGCTCAGTGGTAGATTTGGTGAGGTGGGTGGGTGGGAGCAGGAGAAGGGGTCCCAGGGGTGGCAGCAGCACAGGCAAAAGTATGGAATCAGGGCAAGTGGGAAGTGGGTATGTGGTAGGGCAAGAATGGTGGGGCTCCCAGTCTAGCTGAGGGAGAGGCGCAGGGGGTATGTTGAGGAGGTGGTAAAGGGAGTGGGCTGTGGAGGTCTCCATGTCAGCCCCGGGAGTTTAGTTCAGACCCTGAAGCA